CATCACTTGTTCCTGCTTACCTGGGGCTGAAGCCACTTAGAGTGCTGGTTAATCTGGCTCCACACTTCCCTCCCAGTGTCCATCATGCAGCCATGGGGAAATTAAGCTTCTGTTACTTCCGTTGATCCTGGGTCACCATCAATGCACCAGCACAAGCAGGTTGATTGTTTTCTGGAAAGTTCTCTGGTAGTTTTCCTTTTGTTTCAGTTGTGCAGAGCTGACTGATGAGGCACCTGCCTTTCAGAGGACACGTGGTTGCTACCAGGCTCTTACTCTAGAGGAAGACAGAGCCCTTGGCATAGCTGGGGTGTCTGCTGTGCCTGTGGGTAGGTAGGTGTTTGTAGAGAACAGGTTTTCTTGAATGTCACCATGCTTCACAGCACCTCCACACCATGGTAGCACTAGGTCCTCACTGATCCTGCGATTCCTCCTGCTCTGGGCAAAACCTGCTGCTGCTAATTAACTTGCTTCCTCAGGCTGTTCCCTCAAAGTCACTTTGTGAACCTGAGTTTATTCCTCAGTTTGTTTTGAGAGTTAATAGCTATTAAAAGTCTCTCTCACCTTCACCCATGTAATGGCTGTGATTGGCAGTGAAGGGCTTCCTCTTACAGAGCGTCTGCCAAGTGCTAGTGGCTGCGTGGTGGAGATTCGGTGCTGGAAATTCCATCTGCAGAATGAACAGCACCTTCAAGTTCCAAATCCATCTATAGACACTGGCTGCATACACGTCAGTGCCTAAGGTCATCATCGGCTGCTATCTTCCCTCCATCGACTCAGTGCCCAAAAGTCATAATGCCCGTCCCTTTGATGGTTAAAACATAAAATGGACTCAACACTGGAACAAGGTTCTGCTGCAGGCAATGAACGTGGTCCAACTGTGCACCAGGAACTTGAGTTTTCTTGTGGAACTTTTTGCAAAATGCTTCATAAGCCTCGACTTCCAAGGAGTACTGTTGGATCAGAGAGAAATGGCAACCAAATGTGGACATGGGAAATTTCAGGGTCCTGAAAGGCAGGAAATTAAGCAACTATAAAAGAATCATTCTTGTGCGGCTGGAGAATATGATATGGTCTGCATAGAAGAGTGCTATTAATATTCTCACTTGTGATAGAGAGAGAGAAGGACGACTATGGCAGACTGTCCACAGTTACCCCACCTAGGGAGAGGATCTGTATATAGATGCGCTTGTGACAGTAATCTGTTAACTTTGATGTATACACATGATTTCACCAAAAAGCAGTTGTACTCTTAAAGAAGGAAACAAAAAGACTGAGAGATTCCAAGTGAGAAAAGAAAGCCCAGCGAACCTGGCCCTGGGGCCTGGGATGAGAGATCCCTCCTGGAAGAGGGTGCCAGCCTCACCCTGTAGGACCTGCGCCTTGTGCCTGCAGCCCTGGGACATGCAGCAGAGGGGCAAGCCCTGCACTTGGAACCAAGGGTTTCTTAGTGAGAGCCTCAGAAAGCAGCTCAGACTCCAACGATAAAAATCCAAGCTCTTAGGGAGCTGGAGACACACCCAGTCAGGTCAGACCTATGAGGGCAGGTGCTGGGAACTTGGGGACTGTGGAAGATCAATGTTCCCTGAAGACAGTCCCCAGGTGGGACCCAAAGTTGGGTCTGCACTTCCTCTGCAGTCTCTGTGAAATGTCAGGACAAGAAGGGCCTCGAGGCCCACAGGGGCTGGGTCTCCTGTCCTCCTCAGGCCTCAGGTGCCCCATTAGAATGTGGGGTCAACACATTTAGGAAACCAGAGGAGATACAGCCTCCACTAAGCTGCTTCTACCCAAGGAAAAGAGGAATTCCAGCAGGATTGCATCCTGTGAAACAGCTCTCTCCTTCCCTGTGTGATGTGTGATTACACATGGAGCCACGTGACACTATATGGATTCCTAAAGTCCTCATGTGTACTACAAACCTGTAAAAGGTCCTTGCAGCTTTAATGAGCTTCCAGCTGTACAGATTTTATTGAACACATGTAGGCCCTGAGAGTATGGAAAAGCTGTTCGAATCTCCAGCCCTGCAGGGGCCAGGTTAGGACCAGAGAGGACACCTGACCCTGAGGCCTGACCTACAGCTGCTCAGAGGGCAGGTGAGAATGAGAACCAGGCCGAGGTGGGACAGTTGTGTTGCAAGTCCCCATCTGTCTGTGTCACTGTGAGTCCCTGCCAGCTGCCCCCACTGCCACAATCTGAGGCACAGTAGTAGCTTGGTCCCTGGCCTGGGCATTGCTGATAGGGTGGCCTTGTTCCCTAGTTTGTGGCCTAAAAATTAAGGAGAGGTCTCTGAGGGCTGGTTGCTGTTATACTAGAGGACCATCGTTGAGGCCTGGCTTGGCTTCTGCTTTTTCCAAAATGCGTGTTTATTCTGAGATTATCTCCAGAGCATATGATCGTGGTCATCTGTCCCAGGGCCAGTGACACTGAGGGGAGCTGTCCCTGCATGTAGGAGGCACAGGGCTGGGCAGAGAGGAGGTTAGAGAGGGGTTGATGACAGAGACCCATTCCCAGAAGGTCCCAACACCGAGGCGGTGCCTGGTCTGAACTCAGGTTTTGGGCTGGCCATTTACGGAGCAATTTATTGAGTGGTTTAATGGAAGGTCTTTTACTGTTCGTAAAATGTCTTTTAAAACATTTCCACACTATTGTCTTATAAAATTTCCACAGTGGAAATCACTAATTTTCCTGTTCTCAATATAAAAATAGATTTCTCTTAGTGGTGCTAGAACTGAATTGGGTACCAAGATGCAGTTGACAGGATCCCAGGGTAGGCGGGGGCCAAGGAGTGCCATTTTAGTGCCTAAGACATGGTGGCTTGGTTACACTAATGCATAGCTGAGCCTACAGGGGATCAGAATAATCAGACAAGATCATGGATGTGGTCTAGGTGGTCCTAGCGTCCCTAGACCTGAGGTAGGCGAGCAACTTCCTCATTGTTATTTTTCTAAATGAGCAGAAAGCTCCATCAGAGAAAGACTGTGGGGGCTCCTGGGCCTCAGCAGGGGCTTTTCATGATTGTGGCCGCAGAGCTCACCATGGGACACAAACTGCCAATGAGCTGAGTATTATCTGACCCCCAGTCCCAGATGGCCATTTGCAGTGGCCTCCCCATCACATGGCCAGGCTGTACCTGAGACCTGATGGATCAAGACACAAATAAGTTGCATGAAGAGGTGGCCAAATAGACATGGCCCAATTCCTGCCCCATGGCCATCCTCTCACCTTACAGCCTGGGCCTCCTGAGGGGCTCCCTAGGACCAGCTGCCTAAGAAGAGGTACTCAGGCTCACGATACAGAGGTTTCTGCAGGACATACAGCCATCCCTGCTGTGGACAGTGCTAGTATCCCACCTGGCCTCTGGGCTTCCCTGAGCAGCAGTGGTGGAGGAACACTCTCCTTAAGGCAGAACTTAGAGCAGTGTACCTGGTTCATGTCATCTGCAAAGAGAGATGGGCAGAGGTTCCTAATTCATGGACTGTGACTCGGGGACTTGGAAGACGATCAAAGATGTTCAGAGACACAGGAAATACAATCAGAATATTGATCACAACTATGTCTGAGGGAGAGATGTGTGAGCAAGCAGAAAGCATGAGGATATTTATCTCCTATGTGAATATTTTGTAAAGTCTTGACATGAGAAGGAATTGATTTTGCTAACCAGGTTGGTAGGATGGGTGACTCTGCAGACACCTGGCAGTCTGCCCCAACCACTGCTGTCATTGCCCACTTGGCTCAATAACAAATGCCCCATGGTTGCAGAAAAGGAGGCTGTCCATGGGCTCATCAAAGTGGACTGCCACTCACTAGAGCTGACCTGGCTGTAGCTACTGCTGAGTGACCATCTGCCAACAGCAAAGACCAACAGGAAGATCCCTATAGGATGCCAGTTGATATTAATTTCATTAAAGCTGTCCCATCATGGCAGGGATAGCTCTTTGCTCTTGCCAGAATAGACACTTAGTATAGATAGGGATTTGATTTCTTTGACTGCAATGCTTCTGCCAAACCTTTTATCTCTGGATTACAGAATGCTTCACCCACCATGATGGCATTCCACAGGGGGCTTTGACCAAGGAACTCAAATCACAGCAAATAAACAGCAACCACGGGCCTATTCTCATGGCATTCAAGTGTCTTACCATCTTCACCAATATTCTGTGGCATCTGGCTTATATGAATGGCTTAGTGTCTGCTTGAAGACTGAGGAGTTACTGTAGCAGCGCAGGGATGCAAAAAACATGTAGTTGGACAATGTTCTGAGGACGGGGGCAGGCATGTTCCAGCACGGTGCCAATATGCCACGTATTTGCTCCCAGCAGTGTCAGATCCATGAGGTCGCAGGAATCAAGGAGGCAAAAATTGGTGT